CATGCTGAACACATTGTCCCTGTCCAGCATGTTGGTCCTGACGCACCGCGTGTCTCCTCCGAACTGCTCCCCGCCACGAGCCACGATCTTGTGGCCGGCGAGCAGCTTGGCGCAGTCGACGCCTTCCTTCTCACATCGCAGCCATGCGAACGCTACAGATAAGTCAAATCCGAGAAGAATTCAGAGTTTCAGACATGCAGAGCACACCATGGTTTCAGGCAAGGCAATGGTTAATTAATTCCAGTTCATTGTTACCAGGACAAGCTGTCACAGTTTGCTTGGCGAAGTTGCAGTAGCCGGAGGTCTCCTCCGGTAGGCTGAAGACGCCGGAGGCAGCCACGGTGGCGGATGCACGATGCGGGATAAGGGGAGGCTAAAACAATGGAGATGTTGATTTGCATGAAGATTTAATGGTGAAATTAAGCTTTTACTACAGTGATCCGCGGCTGGCAGGTGATGAGGGGGGGCTGAGTAGAGTGTGTAGCGAGGCAGAGAAAAAGGAGATGATAAATGATAGACAATGCAGGGGAACTAGGATAAGACCCGCTTTGGAAGGCTTACACCGGCCATGTGCAATGGATCATATGGAAACCACGCGCGCGATCGGTGTGTGCCACACACGCCAACAAAAATTATGGCCGGAACGAATGAAGGGAGAAGATAATTGTAAATATCAGAACCTAGAATGTTATAAATTGAACAGATTGCTTAATTTTAACACCCTACATCGTAACATGATTAGAAAATTTTCAAAACCTACTTTAACATCTTTATACACTAATTATTCAAATGATGTGTTATAAATTTTGGAATAGGATATTCAAAAGTTTTAAATAGTATGTTCAGAAAAAATGGTAATAAAAACATGAGCAATGAATCTCATTTGTCAGATAAATTCTAATTAAAATCATGGTTCAAAAGAATGTCAAAATAAGCTGGTTCAAAATAATTTTAAAACACACACATGTGGCCCCACCCAAACCATATCAGATTATGTGAACTGAAAGTGCAGGCAAAACATTTTTGAAAAGTGCATGGAAAACATTTCGAAGTACATATTGCTTTTATACGTTTTGACTCATGGCTGGGTTTGCACCTATCCAGGATATTCCCAGATTTCTAGTTTTTTAGGTTAGGACCAAAAGCTTTTAAATCATGCAGATAACATGATGCTAGATAGCTTCCATTTTTTTACAAGAAATCCAAACTTTTGTTATTTGATGAATGAATAACATTAGTGCTGAAATAACAGCAATGAACAATTACTAATGTTTATGCATAACTCTACAAACTCATGCAAATCCACTTATATTAATTGGAGAAGTGTCTTTTTTTTATCAGGTACAACTTGACTCACGCAACCCACACAATCCACACTTACACCACACGCTAACATACGTGTGCGCGTCCGTACACACGCAAAAAAGAGATTAGGAGACTCTCTAGCCTCAAATGCACGGGAAATACGTAGTACCAGCAAACGCGTACACATGCGTATAACATACTTTTTCTAGAAAAAAAATCCAGAAAAAGATGCGTGGGCTATCCTACCACTTTGAACCAGAGGCCCTTTTCACGAAAAAAGTGTCATTTAATAGAAGGAAACACGTATTTACATAACACTGTGCTATTTAATAGGAGGAAATACGTATTTACATAACATTGGATCAGAGGCCTTTTCGCGAAAGAAGCGTCATTTAATAGGAGGATACATAACACTGCTATTTAATAGGAGGAACTGAGGGAGGGAGTATTAATTTTGCAAAGGATGGCACCGACTCAAGAATGCAGTCACATCCTAACTGTAAATCTATGAACCTAATGAAAGAAATAAGGGAGTGTTTAGATCTGGTGACTAAAATTTAGGAGGTGTCACGTAAGGATGCCACGTGAGGATGTTGCAACTCGTGCTCCAGCTACTAATAATCCATCAGCAGAGCTCGGCGGCGTCGGATTTACTAAGCCTAATTAATTCCTGCCATTAGCATATGTACGGTGGCACCACATTGTCAAATCTCCCGCCAATTACGTCTTAAAAGATCGTCGGGTCGCCACTGCAATTACAACGCAAACTATGCTTAGTTTCATAATTAGTCTATATTTAATACTTTACATATATGGTGCGAAATATCCGCGACGCGGCGCGGCGAAAGTTTAAGTTAGTCGTGGGCAAACACCCGCTAACTCGAGGTTTAGTATGGAATCATGTTGGATCTCGACGTCGCGGTCCAGCGCCTCCCCATCCTCGTCCTCCTCCACCCGCTGCGCCGCGACGCCGCCCGCACCCAACCTCGCCGCACACCCGCGCCGCAGCCGCCCTTCGACCTGGCCGCGGACGAAGAACACGCGCAGGCGACGTTGCACGCCAGCGTCGCGCACACTGCGAGCCCGGCCAGTGCCCCCCCCCGCCCCGCTCCGCTTCTATGGACCACCTCCGCCCTCGCAACGGGAGCCTTGGAAAGGAACACGAGTACACGACACTTCGACGACGGCTGGCGAACAAGAGCCAAGAGGAGGAGGCGGCCCGCGGCTTTAAAGCCAGAGCCGGCGTTAACGACCCACGTTGGCCGCGCATCGCCGATCCGGCCGGTGGCGCCACCACCTTAGATCCGCCGCCGCCGGCTGATGACGCCGACGAGAGACGCGACGAGGTTTGTTCCCACCAGCTAACTTTGGATGGGTCGATGGAACAAGCACAAGGCCGGCATGGCTGTGATCAAGAGCGGGGCGCCACGTGCCTCCTGGCGGTCCTGGATCTGACGCTGACAAAGCTATCAAATCCAAGTACCATCCGGATCTGCAAAGGGGGCGAGCTCGATGGATGTGTGCTCCTGGATCACCGCAGACTGTGCTGTGAGCACACGAAGCGAGTCTCGCAATTTCTAATGTGTGCACGTTTCCGTGCATCGAAGGCTAAAGAGTCTTCTATGGACGTGCACGCGTGCGTGCAGTGTAGTTACCGGAGGCTAGAGAGTCTTCCAGTCTTTTCTTGGCGTTTATACGAATGCGCACACGTGTGTACGTGCGATGTGAGTGTAGAGTACGTGGGTTGCGTACATCCAACTATACCCGATCAAAAGTACCACCCATTTTGATTCATGGTACACGGAGATCCAAAACTTATTTTTAAATGAAAATTATGTATCAACAAATAATGATATTTATATATATTAGCTTATTTACTTACTGACATACAAATTAGTATTTATAGGACTTATCAGCTAAAAACCGACAAGGAACACATCGAGTTATCACCCAAGCAAAGCTCTGCGACAGCAATACTCAGAGCTGTCAGGTCAGACGTTTCGCAACGGAAGCGAGGGGCAATCACTCAGAAACGCAGGCTAGCCTTGCACCTGCAGCGCAGGCTATCTTGCTCACTAAGGAGGCCGTGCTTGGGCCGGCCAAAGGCCTTGGGTTAGACCGATGTTTGGAATCAGTATTTAGCATGGCCAAATATTTGTCGACCTGTTATCATTTAATTAAAGCTCTCTGCAACAGCAATACTCGAGCTGTCAGGTCAGACGTTTCGCAACGGAAGCGAGGGGCAATCACTCTGAAAGGCAGGCTAGCCTGCACCTGCAGCGCAGGCTATCTTGCCACAGACCAGAAAGGCCACCAAGACTCGTCGTCGCAGGCAGTAGTGACACGCGTCAAGTAAGCTGGCACAGTACAGAGCACGAGAACTGGGCCCCAGGAGCCAAGCGTGTTGGCATAGTATCCGGACATGTTTGACAGGGCTGGTTCCTCAAAAATAGTTGTGGCTCTAAAAATAGTTCTAGCTCTAGATATTATGCTGGAGCAGATTCTCTGGTGGAACTGTAGCTGTTTTAAGAAACCGTTTGACTGAACAGCTCTTCATGTCTGTTATGAATGGCTAAGATAGGGACAATGTCCAAAATGCCCCTGGCTGAACAGCTCCTCGTGTCTGTTATATGCTTTCAGATGTATTTATATTCCAGTGTTTTTAAAATTAAAAAATACAAATTATTGACAAGCAATAAATAATTAGTGGCTTGTTTATATTGCAAAGTCATGGCCCAACTATTACAGGCATGTTAACAAAAGTACACATATGTACACAATTCTTGGTACAACCAAACACATGCTCATGTAGATCAAGATAGGTAGATTGCCTCCTGCGCCCGCGCTCACCCAGGCGCCGTCAATTGGGGGCGCTCCCGGCCATGGGCCCGCGCCCACCCACGCGCCGCCAACCGGGGGCGGTCCCAGCCATGCGCCGCCGCCCAGCCACGCGCCACCTCCTGGGGCCACGCCCAGCCAAGGGGCGTCGCCCCAGGCCGTGCCCGGCGGCCAGCCGATGGGGCCGGTGCCCACGGCGTCGCCTGCATCTCCCGCGAGGAGGGAGCAGAAGCCTCCCGCCGTCGCTCCTTCTGAGCCCGCGACACCCATGGCTCCATCTTCAGCACCGTCGGATCTATCGGTCTCTAGAACCCCCTCACCATCTTGCCTCTCGGGCTACCGTGCATCCATGGAGGGAGGACGGAGCTTCTCTCCACACCGTGCGGCTTCAACCTGCGAACGAGCAGGTAAGGTTGGTTAGGGAGACGATGGCAGATGCTATAATTTGTTGTGAACTTTAGGGGCAAAGAGATACCGTGACTGCTAGGTCTGACACAGGAGCCGGTGGAAGCTCGATTTTTTGGCTCCAGTGGACCACAGCGGCATGTGAGAGCGCATAAACCAGGAATCCTCCACGGGAGCCGCTCGCTTAAGACCGTTTGGTTGGTGGAGCCATAAAACAACTTCAGAAGCCGTGCGAGGAGCGGTACCAAACGGGCCCTTAGAACATTCCCTTCAGATCAGAAAATGAACATGGCTATTCCTGCTTCTAACATGAATTGAAATAAACAGCAGTGAACATTGTAAAGTCAAAGCAGAATCCAAAAGAATGGCTGTTCCATGGTGCTTCGACGATATACACAGGTTGCACTCTGTTCAGGGAACGAAGCGCCAGCCACGGCCGTGAACAGCTCTGCTCACCGCCCATACCAGCTCCTCTGGGGCTGAGCATCGGTGTCATTCATCAGCTTGTCGAGCACCACGTTCAGATCCACGTTCTGCCCGTTCTCAGTCAGCTTGCGGACTGTCGCCCTGACCTGCTCTTTGGAGAACCCCATCGTGGCCACCTTCTCAATCACGTCGTCGATGGGCACTCTAGCTCCAGAAGAGCCACTGCTTGGAGTAGACCTGACTGGCGCAGCCTGGGGTAGCACCTGAGCTGTGGGCAGTCTGCCATAGCCGCCGCTTCCCGCAGGAGGAGCAAAGGGTGAAGGCTGCTTCATTCCAGCATTTCCATGGTGGGATGGAGACCCGGCGTAACCATATGATTCGGAGAAACCACCAGCAGCCGGTGGTTTGTATCCAGCATTGTAGGGCAGCGGCGGCCCACAATTAGGTCTGGCAGCAGGAGCATCAAACATGCCAGGGTTCGGTCCATAGAATGGAGCGGCAGGTCCACTTGGGGGTGGCATATAAGGGGGTGGTGCGCGGACATTTGGTGGATAGCCCTGAGCAGGTGGGCCATACGGTGCTGCTTCTTCAGGCTGCTGGGCCACCGGTGGTGGAAGTGTAGCTGTGGGATTGACACTTGCAGGCGGGGCAGGTTGAGAAAATTGAGCGTATTGAGGCAAGGTTTGGTAATGCTGCTGTGGTGGTGGTTGTGGCGCCTGAGGCTGCGGAGCTGGTGGAGGTTGGTACTGCTGGTGGGTGGCCTCAGTCGGCTGAGCTGATGGGGGGTAATAGGATTCCTGTGGTATGGTTGTCACTGAACGAGCCGACAGACCAGATGGCACTGATGGAACCTGGGGATGTGGAGCATGGCCAGGGAAGTGTGTTGGAGGTTGCTTTTGAGCTGGAGGTGGACGTGGCGCAGTTGGAGCAGGAAGGGCAGGCAGCGGTACTGGTGGTTGGGAATGGGGAGGGGCTTGGTTTTGAGATTGAATGGTTGGCTGGGATGGAGTGGGCTGCTGCCTTGAGTCCACCTGCCCAGGTTCTGACTGAACATCCTCTGCTTTCGGCATTTGGAGCTTTGCAAGTTGGATCTGGGTCTCGACAATTTCCTGCTTATCACGCAAAATCTGCACACCTGCTTGAACCTGCATGTGGCGAATAAAGAGTTAAACCATGCAACTAACCCTCACAATATGGTTACAGACATGCCCTGTGAACCATCAGATGAAGCCTATGTGTGACAAAGGGTAAAAAGAAACATAAAGCAGAACAGTATGTAAAAGTGATATTCACACTATAAAAAACGTATGCCTACAATAAAATTGATGTCCATACATCCACAAATCGACATGCCTTTGATTGGGGCTGAAAGAAACTTTGTACTAATACAGAAACACAGATGATTTACATATTACCAATCCACCTTAAAATTGGCCAAATACAGCATGTCACGTTCCTAGAACAGGCAAAGTTTGCAATGTAAACAATAATGAGTGTGTGAACCAGCTGGAACCTACGAACCCCATATAAGTGAGATGAGTTCAAAACAGAGAACATATCATAAGTAAACACACAGATAAAAATTCATCCATAACACAGATGACAGAACTAGTATTTCATTATGACAGCATAGTCCATTCTACTGCAGCTATAAAAGACAAAGATAGAGAGGAGGGGGAGGGGTTACATCCACAGAAGCTTACCTCATGCAGTGTGTTCTCAAATTGCCTCAGTTTTCCATCAATACTTCCATTGTTGTTCCCAAATGTCAATTTCAGCTCCCCAACAGAATTCTCGAGATGGTATGTTCTGTCCTCCAACTGTGAAAGCCTTGAGCTTACACTTTCGAGTGCATGTAGAAGATTATCAGCATATTTCTTCATGGTACGATCAATACCCGCTATAGTGACTGCACTGAAGTTGCTCCTCTCTTCTTCATGATTAACTTTCTTTAGCACATGAGGCTCCAATACACCAGCACCCTGAGTGGTAAGAGAAGTTGAGCACATGGAAAGATAAAAACAGGGCAGTGATATGAAGTGTGATCATGTGAAGTGATAAACAATAACGTATCTTGTGAAGAAGACAATTTAGCTGGGTTGATTATTGTAAATTACAGCTACAGATGGAATGAGTGAGTTGGATTCTGTGTTGTGTCCGTAATCAAACTGTGGTCAATAAATTTCGTGAACAGAACTAAAGATTGTTGTATTAAAGTTGCACAAATACATAAAGTGCCTATACTGATAGTATAATGCTGACTTTGCAAGATGAATATCATTGAAAGTTCAACAATGCTCGAAGCATAGGATAACTGCATAAGAAAGTTAATACACTTTGAAAATGGATATGGTTTTCCTTGAAGGTATAGCACATAATAAGAGCTAAAAGAAAGAAGAAAATAAAATGTGCAACCAATCCTAACAATGTCTCATATAAAATGGCATCCACATGAACTTCACAGAAAACAAAAGGTCCATTAGATAGCTAAGAGTAAGAGTAGCCGGGCCCCGTTCGCTTCGCTGAAAAAACAAGCCAAAACACTGTTCCAGCTGATTTGTTGGGAGAGAAAAACACTGTTCCGGCTGAAAAAACAAGTTGAAAAAGACGGATTATAAGAGAAGCGAATAGGGCACCGTTTTCAAAATAATACAAATATATACCTCCAATCACAAATATGAGTGCAATAATAGGACATCAACACAGTCTTTAGCATGACATTTTTCTTAAAGATAAACACAAAGAGTTATATGATATGGAGATATTTTTCACAAGGAATCTACTAATGACGATCTTGTATTGGCAATCATATGAAATTTCAGATACTAGTAATCAAATGTATAAACGTTTGATGTGGGATGACAAACTTAGGTGGACCTATATTCAATGTTCGAAAAGGCGACGCCTCATCCCCACCTAGGCGCGACTAATCGCAAGGCGAGGGGTTCCGCCTGGCCTACGGGGGTAGGCGGACCCCTAGGCGGGCGGAGCGCCTCGGCGGCGCAAGGCGTCGATTCGGCGGTGCTGAAGCGGTGTAGGCGGCGCGGAGGCGGTCATCACCGACAGCCGGCTGAAAAAAATTGACGCCATGGGTGACCACTACAAGACACACCAACTGGTAGCGGGAAAAAAGAAGGCTCGGCGCTGGAAGGATAAGAGGAGAAGGGGGAAAAGGATTACTTTGCTTGCTTCCGGAAGCTCTCCGACGGCAGCTCACCTCCTGCGACCCAGCAAGAAGCTGCTCCCCGGCCGCGCTCCTCCTCATTGGTGGTGGTCCCATGAGCCAGCGCTCCTCCCCGCCGAGCTCGTGGTACCGTCGGTCGCGCTCCTCCCCGCCGAGCTCGTGGTCCCGCAGGCCGCGCTCTTCCGCGCCGAGCTCGTGGTCCCGTCGGTCGCGCTCCGCCCCGCCTGGAAGCTCCTCCCCGCCGGTCTCTTCATCTCGCCAGGCGCTCCGCCCTGCCGGTCTCGTCCTCCCTAAGCTGAAGCCCCAAGGCCCAAGGTCCTCTCCTGCTCCTCTCCTCTGTTCCCTGCTCCTCTCCTCTCTGTTCCCTGCTCCTCTCCTCTGTTCCCTGCTCCTCCCCTGCTCTTCTCCTCTATTCCCTGCTCCTCTCCTCTGTTCTCCTGCTCCTCTCCTCTGTTCCCTAACTGCTTGGTAGGAGTATTGATCAGATCCGCACTACTAAGCAAGTGAATGCTGCAATGACAACATGCCGCAGTCTGAACTTGGTAGGAGTGCTCTGAAGTGATGATTCTTATTTGATAAACAAATTGACCAAGCAGTTACCATGAATTTTCTCTTGGTTCAAGCTAGCACTTTTTTTTAAAAAACATTGTTTGACTGCATGTGTGTATCTTTGTTTGACTGAATCATTTGTAGGATGTGTGACTGATTTTTTTAGCTGATTTGCTACATGTATGTATTGCCTGAATGTTCACTTAACTCTGAATGTATTGTCACTGAAATCTGAATGTATGTATATGTATAGGATGTCGAAAACAGAGGTTGCACCTGAAACTGAGGGAGCGAATCTCCTGAGAAGGAATTCGGATGATGTGGGATGGGAATATGGGGTTCTTGTTGATGCTATCAACAAGGACAAGGTGAAGTGCAAACTATGTGACAAGGTGATGCAAGGAGGGATTTATCGGTTGAAGCAATCATGTGATGTAATGTACTGCTAGTCTACTATCCATTTTATATTCTATGTTGCTGCCTGCTGTCCCTTCATGTTTGTGATTTCAAAAGGCTATCCTATGCTGCTGAAATGCTGATAATGGATGGGAGAAGGCTCAGACCTCAGATAAGTACCTAACTTGCTATTTCCTATTTTTTGTATCACTTGTATTGATGCCCAATTGCATCTAAAAGTGTTGTCCACTTCTATTGCAGCAGTGCTGCAGGAAATTCAGTGATCAGTAGTGTATCAACTGCAACTAAGGACAAAGGACCTAAGGTATGTCTACTGGTCCTTCCCTATTTTTTATCTAAATTATTCATGATTTGTGCTATAAGCCTATAATTGTATATATTATATATTGATATATAAATATAAATTGGCAAAACGCCTAGAAAAACGCCTAGCATCGCCTAGGCTGGCCTAGGCTGGACTAGTCGCTAGGCTAAGGGTCATCGCCTAGATTTCGCCTAGCGCCTAGCAAAACTTTGCCTATATTTACAGTCATAGGAAGTAGTGCACTGTGTGGGTGGGGGAGCAATTTTCTACTGCAAGATTGAAACTATCCTAAAAGGAGGTAGAGAAAATAAATTAGCATATCCAAATAGTAATGTTGAAAATGTTGTCAAGGGCTTAGGGCTTTGTCAACATAATAGAGAAAATGAATTAGTATATCCAAATAGTAATGTTACAAATGCTGTCAAGGGCTTAGGGCTTTGTCAACAGAACAAGCAACAACCAATTACTTGCAAGAAATTAAAGTATGCGTCCATACTGTTGATGATAAAGGAAAATACGCATCACATCTGGAGATAGTTTATTTTTTAGGGTGAGGAATCTGTGGGATTCAACTTTACAAACAGGGGAGCCAAAAGGCTACTTAGTAGGGACTGACCAACAGTGCCAAATACTTGTTTTGCAATGGAATCCTGACCTACGACATCACCATCAACCTAGCTCTCAACTCCTAACGCTACGAACAGATCTATCAGCGGAGTCATCAGCGCATGGGAGATGAGCAGGATAGTACCTGGAGGTTGGGGGAGGCGGCTTTAGAGTCGAGCGAACCCCATGCGCCCGTCGTGGGGGCCGAGCCGACGGGGACAGCGCTGGCGGTGGCAGAAGGGCGGATGGGCTGGAAGTCGTAGCTGGGCAACACCTCGTCGGCGCCGTTGCCAGTGCCGTTTGCGCCGCCGTGGAGGGAGCGGTGCCCGGGGCCGTGGCTGACCGCCTCCTCCTGCGGGTCGGGGCTCATCAGATCGACTAGCCCGCCGCCGCCGCCGGATGCCGGCGGCGAGGACGCGGCGGCGGCGGCGGAGGCGGCGAGGCCCTGGATCTGCTTGTCCATGAACTGCGACGCGTTCATCGCGGCGAGTCGGCGACACGAGCCGACTGCGGGCGGCGGATGAGCCGATCGGAGCTGCTGGGGGGCGGAGGCGGAAGCTTTATGCTTGCGGAGGGAGGCAAGCCATTAATAATTAATAATAAAATTAGATTAAATTGATTTCTTAATGACGACACGCCATGTGTTTTTGTTTTGGTTTTTACGAAGGCCGTGCCGCTTGGGCGGGGCCGCTCTGGGTCGCGTGTCGACGCTAAGGATGGCAACGGGTCGGCTTCGGATTGGGTGGAGTCTCCGTGCATCTAAAATCGAAACCCGAAATTGAAACCCGAATCCGCCCCGAAAACCGATTCGGGTGGAAATCCATCATCAAAATCAAACCCGCGGATACCCGAAACCCGAACGGATACCCAAAACCCGAATGGATACCCGAAACCCGCGGATATATATACACATATTCACATGTATAAATAAGAGGCAACAAATAATAAATATTTTTAATGAGTCAACTTTAAATAAATTTAATAATCTAAGTAAACAAATTATTATTAGTATATTATAAAACATGAGTTTTAATTCCAAATGATTTATTTCGGATATCCATTGGATATCCACGGGTGGAAAACCAAACCCGATTGGTTTCGGGGCCCCGAACCCGAAAACCGTGGGTGAAAAACCATCCCCAAACCCGAACCCGCAGAACCCGAAACCCGCGGATATCTGTCCCAAACCCGATCCGTTGCCATCCTTAGTCGACGCTGCACGTTTTTTCCCTTGTCTTTTCTTTCTTTTCTTTTTTTTACTAGATAGTATGTTCGTGCGTTGGTACGAGGCAACTAAACTTTTATATAAAAACAAATAGATCGTATGATAAAATAATAATATTATAAAATTAAATACCGATATTAAAATGATATATAATAAAAAAGCAAAGTTTTAGAAATTAATACGGTCACTAAGAGCGCGACATCGCAAGCTCACTAACAGATCTACTTTATAGACATTTTTATGCGTTGCAATGGAAACAAATAATGCCATCACATCCGTTGTGATAAGAACAAAATAATGCACGACAATTTTAAATTAATACGTGTGTTGTACAAATCCATGAATCCTCTATTGTCCTTCCTAACTTCACCTCGTTTGGTGTGGCCTCGTGGGTTGTCTCAAGAATACAGTATTCTTTATCCCATATCACGAGTATTAGCTCTTGCTTTTGTTGCATACATAGATATAAAAAGTTCAATCTTCCAATCTGCCATCGTGCCCCTACCACGCAAGCCGCCGTCGACACCACAGCCGCCACACTCTCCCGATCATGATGGCCCTCCGCTCCCCACAACTAAGGTGGCTCAGGTTGCTTACGTGGAGGCGAAACGTTAACTATCAAAATTAGCATCTAGCTCGTATTACATAAAGATTGGATCATGTCTCTAGAAGAAATACAAAAACCATGAATAAATAAACAGGTGCTAACACCAAGTGCAAAGATTGACTTGGAGATACAAATAATTGTTTCTGGGTAAGATACAACCATCTGCAAGGAAAACTTCTAGAAATCAACATATTTCTAAACTTGATTGAAACCAGCAATCATAACTTGCAGAACTCAACAAATAGAATGGAGCTTTAATCTTGCACCATTTTTTCCCTACAGGTAGGATTTCTAAATCATACTCAACAACTTTTTAGTCAACTTATAGAAAAGGTTTGGAAAAAATAGTATAATATCAATGCATCTGCTAACCGAAAAGGAGCACCTAGCCACCTGTTGAATAGATAAAAGGAAAAAATGTAGAATAGAGAAAAAAGTGGGAGTTGACCTTGAGAAAGCATTGAACTGTCTAGCAATGGTCACAAGGCAAAGTTCATCTCCAACTAATATCAATCTTTGCACCTGGTGTTAGCACATGGATCATAAATGAACAAATTCATTTTCTACAAGCTCCGCAAAAAAAGGGGAATAAAAAATCCTCTGTTGATGTATCATAATAGTCCATTACCTCTGTTGAGTCTAGATCCCCTGTGCTCAATGTGTCGGCCTGTAGCGCGTACACTGTCACTCTGCGTGGCAGTCTAAGTATGCAGCCATGTCATCGGCATGATGATCGCGCTGGTTGTCTCCAAGATCTTCTCATGGAAGTACATATGACGGCACCTACACACACATTTTTGCAGCATCCTGATTCAGAATTCAGATTACACACACATGGCACCATTAATTGTCATATGTTCTCCACAAGCTGAACTACACTTACCTCCTAACATTTGTGGGTGTGCAGCATCTGCAGAGCCATCCCGCGGAGGCTCTGGATGTCCTTTGAGCTGTTCTAAAACCACTGTTTATTTTGTCGCAAATGTCAGCATAATGTTTAGATATAAAATTCAGATATTTTTTTGTCAAAGTTCAGATACTGGCCTTGCGTATTCGGCTTGCCTAATGGTTGGCATTGACTGTGTTCATGTCAGTAAAGGGAAGGTTTACTTCAGGCTACTGTAGAGGAGATCGTCAACAAGGCAGCCAACCTTAACTGAAAAATCCTTATAAAAATATACAGAACAAAGAGTAGCTCAAATGCATGGAAGGAGAGAGAAAATAAAATGAAATCAGGATCAGAAAAGGATGGCTACAATGTCTTGCCAAATCATTGAAAAAAACATTTCTCACTGCCTCCTTGCATATAAGATACGACCAGAAACTTTTCATGAGATATACTATAAAAGAGCGAAGGAATTAAAAATAAATTCTCACACAAATATGTTCTAATCACCTTGATTCTTGCCCGTTGGATCTACTTTAAACTCAGGTCCAACGCATCTAAATCTCTCAGTCTGGTATGACAAGCGGACCCAGTCGAAAATTTAGTCAGAAACTCTTTACATTGACAACTTTCTGGCTCTTATGGGAACAACACATTTTTTTGTGAAGCTATTCTTAATTAATTTGTAAACTCATGGAAGTTTTCTTGTTCAGGGCATTCGGTGGATTTACAATTGATATGGCCAATGTAAGTTGATTCCCCTTTAGTAAACAAACAATGATTTCTCCTATATATGTATGTTACTGCAGTTCAGAACTGAGTGGTACAATGATGTATCTGACTTTGCATTATGTGTAGACTTTCCGAAGACACTGGGTTGGAGAAAGGGATTGAAAAAGTAACCACAACTCTCTCCTCTTAAGTCTTAGGCAAGGTTTGGATCCCATTTTGCTTAACTGGACAGCAAACAAGTTTATGAATAGAGTGGTTTTCTAAGCTCCAGTGTGTTTCCCTGATTATCTTTCGTGTTCCTGAATATATATTTATTTGAAATTGGATGATTTAATGATTCCTACATGCCCAAACTATTTTCTGCTCTTCCTTCTTGAGCAAGGTCTCGACTCTGAAGCCCCTTTTACTTAACCGGACAGCAAAGACAAGTTTATGAATAGAGTGGTTCTCTCAGCTACATTGTGATTCCCTGATGAGCTTTCGTGTCCCTAAAGTATTTATTTGAAATTGAGATGATGATTTAATGATTTCCACACCCCTGATCTTGGAGAATGACCCGTATGAACTGGAGTGAGATATTATCCTTTTTATATTGCACAATGTTCTTACAAAAAAAACTATCTCTACATGTGCAGGTTCTAAAGCCAAAAAAAGTTGTGAAGCCAACAAGAGCCAAACTTGCCAAGAAGCGGGCACAAGTAGATCAAGCACATAAGCAGAGACAAGAGGTTGAGTTCCTACAAGATCTTAGTGGGTTGCATGGTAAGTTTATTGAGAAAGATGATAGAGCCCACGCATGTGGACGGTGGACCCCATCAGAATTGGACCTCGATGGCCTGAGGTCCGACGAGATATATGCACCAAACGTAAGAGTGGCAAAAAATTAGGGACGCGTATAAAGCTGGCTATTATGGCTTGCATTGTTAGCAATTGAACTCTGAAATTTGTGGGAAAAATGCAATGAAATACAGATTTCTTCTATATCCTTTAGCTGATCCCTGACATTTGTTGTATGAAATAGCTGCTAAAAGAGTATAAACACCATGTTAAAAAAGATAGCTTATGAGACCTTATCGAAGTAAAAACTCGACACTCATATTCGATATCCTTTCGCATTTCTAGCAGGATAAATGATTTTTATCTACATGTATGTTTTTTATTTACAATATAGCATGACCTAAAAATGTAAGGGTCATTGAAGTTCATGCTGGCTTTTTGGAAGCACATGAACAATTGATCCGTTTCGGTTAAGAACTGGAAAACATTTTTGCAATAACTTACTACACCAGTTCAGTTCAATGTTACATGACTATGAATTTATGATTGTTGACTGAGGCTTATGATATTGCTAATGAAGAAGTTTCCTGGTAGATAGGTGTAACAGAACCGACCAATTATACGAAATTAAGTAAGAAAATCATCCACCAGAGCAGACGATTGAGCAAACTTAAGCCCGTATAACCCGGTAGTCCGTGAAATCACGAAGGATTTCAAACCAACTCGTGTCCCAGCCATGATCGTAATAAGTTTAGCGGTCACCAATCACATATTACATAAAAGTTTGCATAATGAGATACATCGAGTTTAAACATAGTTATTACAAAACAAGTTCGAATAAAAGTAGCGGAAGTCATTTGTTTAAAACCACACACACTCACACGGAGTTCAAATATAGTGCCAGCTGATGATCATCTCCAACAAAAGCATTAGACGAGACGTAAGGAAATGACCATGCCCATGGTCCTAAGCATCACCCATCGCAGGATACAGCAGCTGATACAAAGAGCTATAGTACATCTCGCCCATCTCGCAACAAGTGGGAATAAAACCACGAGTACGAGAATGTACTCAAATGGACTTACCCCGACATAACCGGAAATAAATGACACCAAGGATTATGAAGGGCTTTATAGTAGGGTAGTGACTCATTTGCAAAAAGAAGCATTTTAGCATTTCAAGAACCTTTCTAAAGCATTATTGCCAAGTTAATTATTATTAACTCATCAACTAGATCTGCACCTATACTAGAGT